TCAGCTGTTTTGATCGTCATAATGCAAAGAATCGGTTCCCGAAGCAGGGAACCGATGTTTGCAAAGCAAAAACAAAAAACAAAAAACACATTTAAAACATTGTTTTGCGATCACAATTGCGATCGCAAAAACATCGTTGTAAAGCAGATTTGTCATAATGCAGGGTAATCGTTAAGCGGGGCACAACTGTAATAGGAATGACATGAAAGATAGTGAGGGAAGAGAAACATGCAACAGATGTGGGTACCAGAGCTGTGAGCTGGTTAGAAGAAAGATGGAACCCAAATGGCAGCTGTTCCTAACTAAGGCCACTGCCCTCATCTCTCTTTCTGGAATAGGTAGGTAGTATGTTCAAAGATGGAGACATTTCAGGGAGAAGAGCCAAATCACACTTGCTTTGACTCTGAGTAAGGTTCTGTGCGTGCATGCATGTGCACATGTTGGTGAAACAATGAGATGCTCTTGTAAAACACCTGGGGTATTTCAACATAAAAGTGGTAGATAAATATACAGATACTCGGGATCAACTGACGATCAAGGCATAATGGAATTGTCTAAAGTGATTTTGTCTGCTCTTATGAAGCATATAAGAAATGTATTGCTATATCAGACCTTGTTCAACATTTGCAAGGAACTTGGAAGCCAGTGTGTGAAAAGCTACCTTTCCCTAGAAATCCATAAATCCGTTCCCCCTGCCATGTTGGCTGGGTAATGCTGGTTGATGTGATGCAAAAAACTAGAACTTCTAAACTCAAATAGCAACTAATAGCTATTAGGCGATCTACTAGTCATTGGTCTCCTTCTGAATGACTTAACTTCTGTTCACTCCTGCTCTGTGCTGTCAGAATGCTATCCGCCCAGAGTGGTATAATATACCAGATGGGCAGGATATAAATCAAATCAAATCAAATCAAATCAAATCAAATCAAATCAAATCAAATCAAATCAAATCAAATCAAATAAATAAATAAATAAATAAATAAATCCTTTGGGGAAGTGTGCCAAAACAGGGCAGAAACATAGTTTCTGGGGAAATGTGGGACATTTCTGTATCTAAGTAAGTGTGGGTATGGCTGGCTTTTCTCAAGTAATTTAAAGTAAAGCTGCACTCTTTAAATGATTATAAACAGTTAACAAGTGACTTAAAGAAAACTGCAACTAATGTAATGTGCTTGCTAGGAATTCATAGTTTTGGAACTCTTATTCCAACAAAATGAGTACACATTTGAAGGATTGGACAGATCTATGCTACCTATGCTTCTGAAAGTGGCAGGATGACGAAAGGCAACTGCAGAGCTCAAAACCTAGATATGCTTGTATGGGAGAATACAGCTCCTTGTGATGTGCCTGCTTTGTTTTCTCCTTTGTCTTCTTGGATAGGATAGCGAGAATGGCAGAAGTTGTGTCAAGATGTCCGTAGCTCCTCAAGCACTCCTGATGGCAACTTGGCCTGTGTTTAAAGCTTCTCTTGTCACATCGCTGGGACGGCATGAGGACATTCTTTCTGAAGGCAATGGATAAACCAGGAAATTCCTCCCACAATAATTAACTGTTTGCCAAAAATACTGAGTTTTTAAAAGATGTGACAGAAAAGGCTAATTTTTCTTCAACCCACCATCTTCTTTGGGATGTACTGTATACCTTTATGAAAGCTTCACCCCATGAGGCAGGGGTGTGTGGGGGAGGAGAGGGAGCAGCAGCAGAATTCCTGCTGATCATGAGGAAGGAGGCTCCGGATCTGTGATAAAGAGAACATGCTTTGCTTCCTAGAAATTCAGTTCCTGGCATCCTCAGGTAGGACTGGGAAACGGTCAAGAGCCACTGCCAGACAGTACTGGGAACCCAACAGGTTCATTGGTTACTGGTCCAGTTCTGAGGACAGTTCGAAATAGTTGTGAAGGATTACAAAACCTTACAAGTCTTTACAAGTTAACTGAGAAACTGTATTCTCCCATACAAATTTATCTGGGCTTGTGAGATGTGCAGGAGAGGTATTTCTTATTCCTGCCACTTTCAGAAGTACATGTGATGAAGACATAAGAGAGGCCCTTCTCAGTGGCTGCTGCTAGACTCTGGAACTCTTTGACCAGGGAGGCCAGGTTGGCTGCTTTGTTGATGTCCTTCCACTGGCAGACAAAGATCTTCCTATTTTGGCTGGTCTTCAGCAACTGATTAAAGACATGGGCTTAAAATATACGTTGTTTTGTTTTTATGTACCATTAAGCTACAACCCCAAGAGGGATTTAAAGATGTATGAGATACTTAAGGAGGGTTTTTACTAGTCTTATCCCCCTTTCCATGTTGAAGCTGGGATTTGAACCCTGGTCTCTTAAATCTTGGCCCTTCATTCTATCCACTACACCGCACTTGGCTCTCATCTGCTAATTGCAATTATTAATGGTTTAACTGCATTCTGTTCAAATATGGCAACTGGTCCATCTACAGTATGTTCTAACTTTTATTTTATCTTTATTTATTTATTTTATATCATTTTTAGGCCACCTTTCTAAAGGTTAGGGGACTTAAGATGGCTCATAATGTTAAGACAAGTAATACTAAAAACACAATAAATGATAGATTAAAAAGCAGTTAAACTACAATAATAACTAAATAATAATTGAAATCTAAAAGCATTTAAAATATTAAAAGTAAATTTGTCTGTGTGTTCTGTGCTGCAAAGTCAGAAGTGACTTATGTTAATATGGCTTTCAAGATAAGTGAGATATTTAAGGAACGGTTTTATGAATTCTACATCCTCCCTATGAGTTTCCACGGCCAACTGGGGATTCAAACCTGTTGTCCAGAGTCCTAGTCCATCACTAAATCACACTGGGAATCTACTAATAAAACCAAACTTAGAAAAGCAAAAATTCAGCATCTAGGAACACAGTCATAGTTATTAAAAGCTTGCCTGAAGAGATAGATGGTTCTTCAGCTGTTTAGGAAAGGTTTAAAGGAGGGATTAACCTAACCTTCCAAGGGAGCTCATTCTACAACTTGAGAGCAGCCACAGAAAAGGCGCTCCCTTGTGTCCACATCAACCTGTCTGCAGTGGCAATAGGATTGAGAGAAGGGTCTCCTCTGAAGATCTTAAGGGCCGGGAAAGCTTGTATGGGGAGATTTAGGGCTTTATAGGCAATTGCCAGCACTTTGAATTGAAGGATACCATAGTCGATGGTGCTGAAAGCTGCTGAGAAGTTGAGCAGAATCGACAGAGACAATCCGACCAGTTCCAACCATAGGTCACCCAAAGGCAACCAAAGCTATCTCGGTTCCACAGCTGGGCCTGAAGTCAGATTGAAATGGGTCTTGATAATCTTCATCCAGAAATTCTTGGAGCTCAGAAACCACCACAAGCTCCAGCATCTTTCCCTGGTATGGCATGTTTGAGACTGGCCTATAGCTGTCCAGTAAAGTATAGTTGTCAAGGAAAGTATTTTCAATAATGGTTTCATTATTGTCTCATTCAAGCATGCTGGCAACCTATTTTGCTGCAGGGAGACATTCACCACTGCACCTTACTTATTCAGTTAAGTCCCTCTCTGACTGCTTTAATAATAAATCATGGAGGACAAGGGTCCAGCACATACATGGCAGCTTCCACCTCTCCAGGAATCCTGTCCACACTCTCAGGTTGCACCAACTGAGATGTATCCATTATAACAGGACAAGGGCTCATAGTTACATCCTGTGTCCGACCCAAAGCAGATCTGTATGACTTTGTGTCTCAAGCCCTGGACAGCTGCTGCCTGTCAGGGTTGTCATTGTCGTTTAGTCGTGTCCGACTCTTTGTGACCCCATGGACCAGAGCACGCCAGGCCAACCTATCTTCCACTGCCTCCCGGAGTTTGGTCAAATTCACGTTGATAGCTTCGATGACACTGTCCAACCATCTCGTCCTCTGTCATCCCCTTCTCCTCTTGCCTTCACACTTTCCCAACATTAAGGTCTTTTCCAAGGAGTCTTCTCTTCTCATGAGATGGCCAAAATAATGGAGCCTCAGCTTCAGGATCTGTCCTTCCAGTGAGCACTCAGGCTTGATTTCCTTTAGAACTGATAGGTTTGTTCTCCTTGCAGTCCAGGGGATTCTCAAGAGCCTCCTCCAGCACCACAATTCAAAGGCATCAATTCTTCGGAGGTCTGCTTTCTTTATGGTCCAGCTCTCACTTCCATACATCACTGTCAGGGTAGGGAGCACTAAACCAAGTGGATGAACAGTCTGGCCACTGAGAAGACATTTTCATCCTTATATAAAGCAGCACACTAGAGGGCTCTACACGAATGAGAGAGGATGCCTCACCCTGCATACATGTCTGCAATTGGTATCCTGGACAGCAGCTGAAAATATCAAAATTTTCTTCTCGCAGGGAAGAGATATTGAAAAGCAAAGACACGTTTCACATAAATGAGTGGCTTGGATTGAAAGGTACACCTCCTCTGCCCCTTGTTACTCACACAAACCTCAGTTTAGTTCCAGCAATGTGTGCCAGGTGCTTTACACGAATTCCGAACCCTGACACAGAAATACACATATCCAGAGCTGGAATTCATTTATGGCACCCCTCAGTGTTTCCTGGATCTCTATTTAAGCCTCCATGTAGACAAAAGAAAATATGTTTCCCTAACGTCCGGAGAGTGAAAACTGTTCCCTGAAGCTAGTTTCTGCTCTCTTCCATTCTGAACCCTGGACTCACAGTCCGGCATTCACGGGCTGTTTGGGGAAATTTCGCTTTCTCTCTGCCTCAACTTCCTGACTTCAATTTGGGAATAACAGAATAGTAACCCGGAGAGATACTTGTTCGGCAGCAACGAAATAAATAAATAAATGTGACCAACTTCTAGACTCGGTAATAGGGAGGGCTATACTGTATCTCTAAAAAGCCACTTTGAAAAACAAATGATACAGTAAATATAAAAGAGGTTTACAAGCGACGTCTTCTTTTGATAACCCTGCGTTAAAAACAGACACGTTCATGCCTTGATTATTTGTTCCTGCTTACCTGCTCCAAGTTGGCCAGAAATAATATACTCCAGGAATATAATGAGCGTGATGCGTTTATGCTGCGCGACCCCGCCTAGGAAATCCATCTTCACCGGCGACGTGAGGACAAAAGTAATAATATTTGTACAAGTCTGCTATTCACATGACCTTTCGGAAGAAAACCTTCCCTTCGGGCAGCGAGGATCGTTGGCGTACCTTTCCTTTTTCCCTTTGGGAGGCTGTCGCGGTTGGGGGGGGGAATGGCAGGACACCCGCCGGTTTCTCTGTCCACAGTCTCTTTTTTTACCGCCCTCTTTCCACCCCTTTAAAAAAAAGAAAAAAAGAGCGAGGCAGCGGCGTTGGCGTTGGCCCGGGTTCTGCTCTGGCCGCCGACTCCCGGCGTGTCACTCACCGCCGTCCATCGCCTCGCAATAAATCAATCGCTCTGGCTGCTCCGAGGGGGAAGCCCCCCCGTCCCCTCCCTTGCCCCACCGGAGACGAGGGGTGACGTTCACACGTCTGGCGCAGCCGGAGCCTCGCTCTTTTTCGCCTCCTCGCCCGTCGACCTGACGGGACTCGAACCAGTGGCATAAGCGAGGGGCTGCCCTCGTCCCGGGCGGGCAACTTTCGATTTCGCTTCAGGTGGACTTCTGTATTTTGTCCCCCAAAAATACGGCTTTCGGTGGCCGGGCGGAGGCGATCCGAGGTCGTGAATTGGGACAGCAAATACACACCCTAAGATTAAATCATCAAATCATCACCACATCATCATCATCATCATCATCGCCGGCTACTCTTTCGGCGGCCCTTTCCGCGCCACACACTGGGCAGCGGACCCCCCCAGTCCACACACACACACACACACACACACACACACAAAATTCTGCTCCCCCTCCCCCGCCCCCACAGGCCAGAGGTCGTGACTGGGCAGCGGACCCCCCCCAGTACACACACACACACACACACACACACACACACAGCCAGTTCTGCTCCCCCTCCCCCGCCCCCACAGGCCAGAGGTCGTGGAAACAGGGGGGCGCAATTAGGAAAGGGTCCGCTTTTTTCTGCCCGGCAGGATTTTGCAATTAAAAACACACCCGCCCCCGAGCCGCCCGATTCACAAGAACTGGGCAAAGGGCAGGGTCCGATCCGGAGGATCTTTCGGGATGGGGGCGTTGTTGTTGTTGTTTTGTTTGTTTCTTTACCCTCCCCTGCGAATGTCTTGAAACGATCGGCGCTGCCTGTGAAAACGAGTAGCGGTGGAAAGTTTTTTATTTGATCCCGCGAATTTGGCACCGGGGCGTTGAGATCGATGCCTGCCTTGTTTCCCCACCGCCACAGCGATCGATCCCCACCGCGCCCTTTCTAGCCCCCTTTGCCTGCAAAGGCCATCGCTTTCCCACGTGGCCTCCCCGTGCTTTATTCCCGTGCGTGGGGTGTTTTGAGAAGCCGTGACTCTGCTTGCAGTTGGGTAAGGAGGACACTCCCCTCCATCATCCCCACATCCCGAGGGTTTGCCGTCGCCTGCCCCAGAAAGCACCTCCTGCCCCTGCCGCGACTGCCGCGACCGTCAGCCCGCCGCTTGCCGCCTCCCGGGCATCCTCCGGAGCCTTTTAAATTCAGAGCCCGGCGACAAGTGGGAGCGACGCCCCGCCCCCGCCCGCGCTTCGGACCGGGCGGGGGGGGGGCTTGCGGTTAACTCAGAGCTTCGCCACGCCCCCTGTCGGGCGAAGCGGCCAACTGCACCACGAGGGCCGGCTTGCCACGCGTGGCTGGCGACAGACGACGACCTCGAGGGGAAAAAAACCTCCCGGCGTGAGCGGGAGCGAGAGGGAGCTGCGGCGGTATAAGCCCCCAAGCGGTCCCGCCCCCAGTTTAAGGGAAGGTCCTTCTGAATAGGCGGTCAGAGAAGGTTATCTGGAACACAGAGTCACACGCCAACCTATTAAAACAGGATCCCGACGACCAGTTTGATTTTTGGCAAAATCTCCTCCCCCCCCCTGAACAAAACTTGAATTCATACAAGTTCTTATTTATTTTATTTATTTGACTTATACCCTGCCCATCTGGCCTAAAAGACCACTCTAGGCGGCTTCCAATACAGTGGGGTCTCTACTTAAGAACGTCCCTACTTAAGAACAATTCTACTTAAGAACAGCTCCGTTTGCTAAATTTTGCTTCTACTTGAGAACAGAAATCCTAGATAAGAACAGGAAAAAAAAACCTTTCCTGCTCTTTTTTTAACCTTAGGTCATCTTAGGTTAAAAAAATTCTCCCCCTAGTGGTAGAATACGTATTAACCAGCT